CACTGTACGCATAGAGCCGTTTAATATTAGCAATTTTAAGTGTAATTATATTCGTATTTATTTTGTAAAAATATAATATTTTAATCCTATATATATATATTTGAAGACAGTATTGGACAGTATTCTAATTCGGATAAGGAAAGAGATTAATACAAATTTTATATATATAATTGTGTGTGTGCACTCCTCTACTAAGATTATATGTTATTATGGTCATATATGTATGATTACTGTTGTTATAGTAATACGGTCGTATGAAAAGTTTTCGACCTAATAAAAATAAAAAATAAAAAAAACCTGATTCAAAATTATTTTTATTTCCAAATTTTATCTCCATCTTTGTGTGATGTTTAAAACTTTTCATCCGACCCTCATATTATTCTTAATATATATGTAGCATAAATAATGTTTTCTATCTGAAATAATGAACTACGAGATCAAATTAGTTTTCACTCTATGCTGTATACTTATAATTATAAAATTAAAAATTTTATTATGCTGGGTTATTTCATTAAACATTATAGAAGGTAAGTTAATTGAATGCTATAAAAATCATAAACAATGATGAGATAAATATTTGTTATTGCTGCTTATCTACTTGAAAAAACGTGTGCGTTGTATAATACATGATCATTCATATTGCTTCCCTCTATGAAAACATCTTCATAAAAAAGTCTATGAGTTATTAAATATGCAAAAAATAGATTACAATATAAAACAAAAAATAAATCAATAAATCAACTTTAAAATATATAAAGCACAGTATGCAACACACATAATTAGTACTCCCTCGCGAAATTTATATATATTGTTAATGTATTCTTAATATGTTAAAATTATAGAAAAGTTTCAACTAATATGTATATATATGAACACGAAGCGAAATCTTGCACCTGCTCCTCGTACTTTCATCTATTATCATTTAATATTGATACCATGCCTGACGACGCACCCAGCGCAGTTTCATACCAGAAGCGGTGCGAATCTTTATGCTAGCACACTCTGCTGCACGCACGGTTTCTTTCACACTTTGCATGAGATTTTGAGCGTTTCCGACAAGCATGTCCGTTGCTTCCTGATCTTCTTCCGTACCTGTCCGTACACATTACAAAGGCAACTATTAGATTTAGATAAAAAAAATAATTCCTTGATACATCAATATATTGGTTAATACATATATCTTTTCTATAAATTTTTCTAAAACTAATTGTTACTATATCTATTACTAAATTTGTAGAATTATATTTCTAATATGATTCATATAAATATCTCATGTACTAAGAAGCAATTCCGTCAAATATAATAGATGAATAATATATAACTATGCAAAAATAATTTTATTCTAAACTGCTTGATAGCTATGTTAGAATCTGTTGTATCATAATTCCTTCTAATGAATATTTCAGTGCTGGAGGATGAAAAAAGCTTCATTTATTATAAAATGTGTAATTTGTGTAATTTACATGCAATGTACAATTAATCACTGCTCAAATCAGGAAACTAGATGCATATAAATATCTAGAATGCATTTACTGTGCATCTAACAATTAAAAGGAAGTTCTTCATAATTACTATGGCTCGAAACTTTTGTAGACGAGTTATGTAAATGGAGTGCTTTGTAAAAATCATGTGTAGCTTTAGCTAATGAATATATGCGAGCGCTAGTAATTATGTAAAAAGTACATGCATGGATGAAAATGAAAACACATATATATATTTCGGAGTAGAGATTGATGATTGCTGGAAACTTTCATGAATCATTTGAAAAAAATTCAGATGTCTGCTTACCATAATATATACAAATGATAAATCATAAATTGCACAAATGTGGCAATCGATAATAATGAAATGTGTATTAGATTGAAATACACGATATACTGATATTTAGCATATAGAAAATATGGATAGTAGTATATTGAATAATATGCTATCTAAAAATTTGCTATAAATTTTATAATCCACTTACTGCAGCCAATCAATTCATCTACACCACGATGAGCAGACGTATACCAACGCGGCACATACCATTCAAAGTTCAAATAAAATATCAAAGTCATTAGCCTATTGTTCATAAAGATTGCTAAATTAATGAATTGTATTGATATGTAAATATAATTATGTATATAATATTTTCTAGTATATCAACATTGGATAACAGTGTTTCACTTTCTTGCATTCCTCTTTAAGAAAAAAGTAGGAGTCACATGCACTTTGATGCTGTGTGTATCGCGCTATGTGAAAATCAATCGATTTCAAATCTTTAAAAGAACGAAATAAACACGAGAAAAAGAGACGATAATATTAAATACAAGTTTGCAACTTCTTTACCATAAAGCATCAGCTCTTCCCAGGTCGGGAGTGTCTCTATATGCAAAGGATTTAATTTTTTTTCATTAATATACAGTAGTTCTCACACACGTTTCTGTTAAGCAATGTTTTGTCGGAAGATTATATCATTCCAAAGAGAGAGAAAGAGTCATTTATAGATATTTTTTAATAATTAATTAGCTTGGCAGAGTCACGATCTTTTTTTTGTCGGATATAACCGATATGTGAATATGTATGTAAAAGGACATATAAACCTGTACCTTGTGCCCCGAGCATAGTGGCTTTTACCGTAGACAGTATCTTCAGTTGTGTTCCGATAGTGGGTATACGCTCGCAAACTTGAAGAAGATTCTGGGAATCATTAAATAAATACAAGATTAGATTCTTTACATATAACTCTATAACAAACAAAAGTTATTTTAGATATTTATAGATACAATAGTATTTGCACGTACCGTACGAATACGTTTGTCAGTGCACTCTCTGGCGAGTTCTTTCGCGAGACGCGTCACTTCTTGGGAAGCTTCCGCAATTGCTTTGGCGCACGCAATGAGATCTCGTTTATTACCACCTTCACCTCTGACCAATCCGGATAATCTTCCCATTAATATAGCCATCTTCTTCGCTGCAGCAATAATCTCATTATCTTTGCTCGACCATTGTCGTACCTCTTGATGTAAACCATGGGCAGCCATCTATACAACAAGTGTAAATATAACTTGTGTTTAATTTTTTTGCGATTTGTATATGTGTATATCAGGGTGTTTATTCAAATTTTGTAAAAAAATTCCATGAGAATTCTCTGATTTTTCCAAGTTCAAAATAAATTCCTGAGGATTCCAGATTTTCTATGTTTTTTTCAGGGGAGTAGACATCCTGGTATATAATAGATACAAACCAAAATGCACAACATTTTTCTCTTACCATTATCGGTTGATTAGGTTGAGGAGCGTGCATAAACATTTCTTCCTCGTCGTCTGTTTCGGGAGGAGGAGGCCTCGGAGGTGGAATATCGCCTCCTGGCAAAGGCGGGCGAGGAGGTGCCACTTCTGTACACAAACAATAAATATGGTATCTCAATAAAATTTAATAATATAATATTCCCTCTTTTTCGTTGTATGCAGAAAGATGTACACAAAAATCTAGAACAATCTGTTATAAACAATCACAACCAAAAAGATTTGTTAAAAAAATTGATCATACTGTATGTGCATTATTTAGATACATACAATAAATCTTCCTGTAAACAATCGCAATTAATGTATAAGATAAATATAAGCAAACTGTTGTAAATATACTTTACAATCTTTACAATAATAATAATATTATTTATTAAGGGTGTGACAAAACGGTTATTTTATACAGATGCTTTGTCTGATGCATATTATTGAAGAAAAAAAAATGTAGAATGTAAGTTGGTATAAGAATATATAAACATGTTTAGATAATTACCATCATCAATATTATAATCGTAATAATCTGGCAATCCATGTAGCATTAAGAACAGAAATGCATCACATTAAAATATGAGACAAATTGGACATATTATAGGACATACTTCTACATGCGTGTAATTAAGTATTGAGTTAGAGCATCATGCTTGGATATAAAAATTAATATGTCTATCAGTAATTGATACTTTATGTCAATAAGCTATTATTAGTCTTTCTTTTTATATCATTATAATAAATATCAACTATATGAGGGTAGAATAAGTTAAAAATTAATATACTTAATGATTAAATTTGTTAATGTTTTCTGTGACATGATATAATAACTATGAATCACTGATATTATTGAGATATTATTACAAAAGGCAGTATGTATGAATGATTGAGCAAAATGCAGCTTGATTTATTAAATATAAAACAGAAATTTATATTAAAAATATATCTTAGACTTTTATATAAATATAATGAAACCTGTATCATATATTGTATTGTGTATTTTTATATCACGAATAATGTTATATCCTTTTTCTACACTTGGCCATGTTATATATAACATTATAATCATATTCATAACATTTTGTTTAATACAATGCGAGCTTTATCTTCAGCCACTGCATGCTTTATAACAGGAATAAATAAACGTTAAGGAACATAAAAAAAAAAACAATAAATTATCATTTATGGCCCAAAAGAATTTTATAGATTACCTCCGTCGTGAATTGATTTTTCTAACTCGTTGTCAGAGGCCAGTTCTTGATATAAAAGATCGGGATTCTCTACTAATTGGAGCAAATATAATTAATTTTATAATCTGACATTTCAATAAATCTAAGTTTTTTTTTATCATCATTATCCTGATCTGCATTTCACATATGATAAAAATGAACGTGAGAGAATATTAATGCAATGGATTTTATCGATTGTAATATAACATATAGTATGTTATGTATAGCTTCTCTTCATGAAAAAACGAATTTTCTAATTTAAAAAAATGTCATGAATGAGAAAAAAAAAGAAAGCATAAAAACAGATTATATAATACTTATTAAATATTTGTTTCTATAATACTATAAACTTCTTGTTAAATTCTATTAATGTACATTAAGAATTTTCATCAAATCTTTTTATATAATTTTAAAGAAACGTATCTCTGTAAAATCATATGACAAATTATCATGCATATATTATTTCATGCTGTAAAAGATACCTTTATTTTTGGAGTAATTATATTTGATTGGAATTTGTTCATCTGTAAAAGATACATTAGATATATTTTTTTTTGTTAATATCATATATTGCATATATTGATATTACCAATATCTTTTATTTTCCAATGCAATATTTTATATAATTTAGTCTTATCTATAACTATGAAAACGTTTTTAACTTTAGAAAATTTGTATCTAAATAAAAATTATTGCTATATACTTTAAAAGTGGTATTATAAGAAAACAAATAATGATCTAATTCAGCAAACAAAAATTAGATGACTTTGATAGTTAATATAAAATGAATATTTTATAATGCAAGCATTCTGTTTCATATTTACATATCTACTGTGTTTTATCTATGTATTTAATAAATAGTATATGCAAAAACATAAAGTTTTTAATAGTGGAATGATAAAATATATCCTAATCTATCTTTTTTCTTATAACAAACCTCTATAGAAATTACAGAATTATGTAACAAATTATTGAAAAACAAATAATAAAGAAATATTACTATCATAAATTAACCATTCCCTCATAAGATATTTTAATTGCATTGGTTAATTATTTAAAAAAAACCGTATAATTCTGAATGTTTCCATTTTGACTGATAGAATCATATCTTTAAAGATTATTTCTTATTTTTAGAAATATTCCATATTAAAAACTCACCGTCATTAATATGTAATTGTGACATTTCCAATGGTGGCACCAAATCTGGTCGAATTATGATGGCTTTACGAACTTGCCCGACGTTGGCTAACAACTAAGAAAACATAACATTAATAAAAATTATGTTATATTAACTTCTACGGGATATGCTATTGGAATAATATACGTACTGCGCGATTACTTTCTCTCCAGTGTGATACTGCAGAGCTGTCATTGATATTCATTGCCACTAATTTAGCATCCTGAACCATTGGAGCAACACCTGTAATTAAACATAACACAATTGATTAATGAAATATCTCGAGAAAAACATCACTTTCTTAAAATTATATATTTATAAACTTTATTTCTTATAAGTTTTAATTTGCGATAAATTAAAATCAGAGGAATGTATGGTAAGATACAAATATTTTTTTTATAAATTGTTCATTGTAATTCGAATTAATAAATTTACAATAAAGAAATTAATTCTTATTTCCATATGTGTGATATATATTAATAATTACATTAAGACAACAAAAAAAAAATTTTTTTTAATATACTAATATATTTAAATTGTGCACTCACTGTTTTGAAGAATATCGGTAGCGTGATTTACTCTTTGTATGAAGGCAGGGTCTTCGCTATTGTCGCTTTCCTGTTTTGCTACGAGTATAACTCGATTCGCGAGACGCGCGATAGACGCCGTGTTATCGACCATCTTTTGCGGGAGCGCCTTGGCAATAGCCTCCTCGCAAAGAAACGAATGTTTCTGCATTTGTTCCTCGGAAGTTCTGATAAAATCGCCGCTGTCAGTCGCCTCGTCGCACAATGCTCGCGCTCTCTGCATCGTCTCCGCATATTGCTGTCGTAAATTTTCAAAGTGCTCATCCGCGGCTTTGCTGTCTGGATAAGTCATGCGAATTCGTCCGGCGTTGATCAATTGCGGTGTCAGAGATTCCACTTGCGAGGCACTGGCAGCTAACGCTTCGGCCAGTTTCTTATTCCCTCCGCTTCCTGTAATAATGTAATAATAATTTTTAACTCTTCAAAAAGAAGAAAAATAAAAGAAGAGAGACAAAGGATATTTCTTTAAAAGAAAGTGTCTTTAACAACTATTCTCAATTTTTTATCTTTTAAAGAATTAAAATAAGATTATAAATCTTTTTTTTTGATGCGATATCAAAAATATATACCGCCAGCCGCGACCATCCTTGCCGTCTTTGCCGCTCTATTCGAGAATGTCTGCAGCGTGCATGTTTTATCATTGAAGTTCTGATCCCGTCCCGGTGTGCCCGCAGGTGCTAAAACGGCGTCTGTGAATTGTTTTAGAGGTGTCGTGATATCGATGAAATCCTCGACGACGCGAGACACGACGGCCTGTTGTATCCTGTTTTTCAATTCGTAGAGCTTATGGGATAGCTGGCGGGCGATTTCCTGAGCACGTGGAGTATTGCCCTGACCATGGGCGCAGAGATCGGCAAGCTGATGCGACAAGTTGTCCACCTCGTCGCATAATTGCAAAATCTCCGCCTTATGTATACCTGGTAAACCCTCGGCCACCTATTTTTTCGAACATAAGATTGTCGATGATAGCAAAAATTGTGAAGTCTTTAAGGAAAATAATTGATACACAACAGAGCGCCACAGGCATCGCGAATTTTCTCTCGATAAAAAGAATCTTCGATAATCTAGACTCGACATCGTATAAATAGAATTGATTTTAGCAGCAACTTTAAACATTCGCTAAGCTTCAAATTAAAAGTCTGCCAAGCTAAATTTAAATCTATGAAATTTTAATTTTAAGCATAGCAAATATCTAAAAATTCTGTTAAAATAAATACCATTTGAATTGGTAAATAATGAATAAGAGAGAATTAAAGATTCTGTTAATCCAAGCAATTGGACAAAATGCGCGGTGCTTAGAACGCTTCGCGTAGCTCATCTGCCTATAATATTGATAATAGACATTATACATATATTGTGAGAACATAACGAAAAGTATATTTACGGACTCACATTTGCTATAGGTTGCTCATTCTTTCTATGCGCAGCATTGAAGATATTAAGCATTATAGAATGAAAATGTGACTGATTTTTGAAATACCATACAAAAGAAATCAATGATAATAACGCGCTACGATATATATGTCATTGCACCATACATATGATAAATGTTTAATATGACCAAAAGAAAAAGTTATAAGAATTGATTACATCATACCTTCTTTCCTTCGTGTATTATTAAAGCTATAGCCCTTTTACCGAGTCCCTTGTCATCGTGATGTGGATTTAGAAGCCACTTGTTCGCTTGTTCTAATCGACCCGTTACTGTGTGTGCCGTTTGTGCGGTTCCCGATTTATCTGCTGCCACCAAAGCGGATGCTACCGAGCCGCGGAGTTCGTTCAATTTCTCTTTAATACCGCGTGCTAAGGCTTCCGCTTGAGGTGTAGTGCCTTTATACATAGATATAGATATGGTTATTTAAGTCTTTTATGCGTGTACCGATATATATAACATTTTTATAATACACAATTGATGTGACATGTAATATCTTATAAAACTGGAATAAATACCTTTTTCGTTTTGACGCAGTTCGCAAAGGGCATCGGTCATAGTAACAATCTGGGAAGCCAATTTAGATATAGGTTCCGCTTGCGATGGAGATAGATAACGTTCTGCTAAACGCGACGCTTGTTCTATTATTTGGCGAAGGCTCTTTTCTCCTACGCCACCTCTTAGAGCCAGTCCGTCGTCTAACCAATCGTAAGCTGCTCGTATCCTGGATTCTATAGCACTCTGAGCCTTTTTCAGCACCTAATAATAATAAAATTATATTATACTTTACTGTTTTAATAAGCTGCAATCAATCATACAACAAGACAAAACAACTAACAGTCAATTGATCTGCATCCCATTCCTCTTCATCGTATGTAGTCAATTGCAACACTCGAATAATTTCATTCAATTCATCAGACATTCTGCCAGACAAGTAATTGCGATTTTCCGCTGCCTCATCTGCACCTTTTCCACCTTGTGAAATAATATGGATGAAAATCTTCATGGAGCAGATCAGAATAGGAGCAAGTGTTTTGACCTATAAGTCAATAGTATTAAACATAGTTTAATATGACATGTTAAGTGGTATTTTAGCATTTATCATATTATAATATTATATTTACTTGCTCTAAGCAGCGCACTAATATCTCTCTGTGAACTTGATGCGTTAGCTCCTTCTCGCGAGCGCTCACTTCTCTTGAAACCTTGCTCAGGCATGGACTTAAATTCTTAAGAAAATGTACTAGGTCCTCCATTGTTTCAATAACTTCGGTAACAGCCAGATAATCTAATACACGTTTGCATTCTCGTATAATTTTTCGCACTTCACTCTCATCAAAACAGAGAAGCAAGGAACTAGTGCCTTGCAAAATACCACGTGATCCCTCTATAAGTTTTTTCCTAAAATGAAAAACACGCTATAAATTTGTTACAAATATCAAATTTACACAAGTAATTTCATGTGAAAGATTCATAAATCATACCTAGCAGGTCCAGAATATGGATCCTGTTTCAGCATGCCCGACGCTTCCTCCAAAAGACGAGAAGCACCTTCGACACGTTGTAGTGCTGCAGGCATGTCTTGTTTAAGCAACGCATCATCAGATGAGTTTATTGTTTCCTTTCCAACCTGTAAATTAAAATAGAGGCATATAATATAATAAAATGCAGAATTAAACATAAAATAATTTTTATTAAAAAAGAAGTAAAAAGTTAAATAATATTTTTAATATTCAAATTTTTATTTTATATATAAACTCACTTTTACAAGATTGGTCACAGCCATACTGACGGCCTGTACAGGCCGTTCCAAATCTGGCATAGCATTTCCATCTTCAGCTTCTTCATGTAAAATAACAAGTCTCGAGACCTGCAGAAGATACAAGAATTATTAATAAAATTTTTGATAAGTATTTTGATCCAAATAGTTCAAAGATGCAAAAGTACACAGAATATTTCTCTAATTTTAATTTATATAAAT